CTCCAGCACCAGTGTTTTCCTTCCTTACCTCTCCCTATTTTTGGTTATGCCTGCTGTTCTCTGAACTCTGTGGAATTTCCTTGTCAGTCACCCCTCTCCAAGAAAGGGCCTTCTTATCTCGTCACCATCAGAATTTCTTGATCTACTGGAACCTTGGTAGGGTGCTCAACTTATAGTCCTGCTACTCATGGATGGCAATGTGGCTTCCAGAAAGGCCTGAGAAGATAGAGAGGCAAGTAATGGATGCTAAGCAATGCTTGGAACAGCTCATTGATGGTGTGGAGGAATCCCAGCATTTGGGACAGGTGAAAAGTTCTTACTGTTCTGCTCAAATGGGAATGTTAACAAGTGTGATAGTGTATGCATAGTAACTACCCCTTTCTCCTTCGAGTGGTGTCGCCATGGGTGCTCCACTCAGGTCTCAGTGTGTCCTAATGCTGCTGATTGGAGATTTTTGCCTAGCAGTGCCTTTCCGTGCCATACACGTGCAGTCACTGTCTTGGACTGTTTTCATGTGTTAGGTGCATGTGTGGTGCGAGCCTCCCTCAGTTCCTTATTTACCATCCTTGGCTGAAGATTGAGTCACAGCAGTGCTCTCCTTTCTGACAGAAATTTATTAAAAAATAGTGTAGTTAGTTTATAAGTTAATAGTTTGTCAGTTTATAGTTAGTTTTACTTAGTTCTTTATTTTATTTTTTTTAAAATTCCTGGTTTTTTTTCCCCTTCCTATTCTGTTTTTTCCAAGTTTTGAATCCTCACATTCATTCAACATGACAGGCTCTCCTGGCTTCAAGAAATGTGATTCATGTGGGGAAATGTGATTAATGTCAGTTTAACAGACACGTGTCCTATATTAAATGCTTAGGTGAAAGCCACGTAGCGCAAAAGTGCCCGCACTGTCAAAACATGACGGCTAGAGTGAGAAAAAACTGCAAAATGAAGCTGAAGAATCTCTGGGCGAAATCCCTCTAACCTCTAGGGCAGTGGTCCCCAACCTTTTCAGGTTGGTGGGCGCCAGGGGCCGTGGCCGTTCGCCCGCCGGGCGCCAGAGGGCGGGGACACTTGCACGCCCGGGGGCGGGGCTCCCCCCCCCAAGTGCCGCAAGCCTGGGGCCAGCTGCCCCCCCCAAGTGCCGCGAGCCCAGGGCCCGCGCCCCCCCCCCCAAGAGCCATGTCGC